CCCCCCCACACACACACTTTTCTTCCTGCAATTATCAATCTAAACACCCTTTCTCCTCAGTTTACCTCACCTTTTTAATTTCTGTATTTATCTACTACTTTTTTCTCTTGCTTATTTCCACCATCCCACTCACATTTACCTCTTTTTGCCTCTCATCCTCCGCTGTCTGCCTCGTCCTCTCTCTCCCTGTGCAGGCTTCGTATATAAGTCCAGCCGATAATTAGCCAGGCAGTGCAGACCTCCTCGGCTTTGTTTGTGGCCCCGAGGCCACAGGATGTCCCTGTCTATCACAGCGTGACTTACATAAGCAACCAAAACAAAGTGACGAAACTGACCTCAAACGTCCCCAGGAGGAAGAAAGGCTGACTCAAGATAGAGGGACAGAACGAGACGGAGATGGAAGACATTCCTTCCCTTTGCTCTGATGTGACCAGAGCTTCTGCTGTATCTGACTTGTACTGGCACAACTCTCCTGTTCTTGTACTGCATTTGTCTTAAAATAAACAACCTTTATCATAATTGTCAAAAGCATCATCATTCTTAACAGTTTCTTGCTTTTTTTGTACAAAATGTACTTATTTCTTTAAAAAACATGCTTTCTTAAGAAATATTTGGCTTCTAAGGTTTATTGATACCAAAACTTTTCATATGTCAATTCATATTTTTGTATTTTTCAATTATGATTTTTCTTGACAACATTTTTTACAGTTATGCATTAAATACCATGGCAGTCCCATTCAGTCTTGGTAATTACAGTATAACACAGTGGTACGAACTCCATTCATGCTAGATAAGCTCACTGTGATGCCATGTACAGTTATGAGTTGTACAGTGCAGTAAGGTCTATGGAGGCCCGTGTAGTCTGTTTGTATGTACAACTCGGCACCTGTCTCCAGTAGAAATATACATTTCAATTAAAATCTCAAAACCCTAAATCTTGCACACGGATGTGTAGACTGACATTTATGCAACCATGTATTGAAGCCTAATGCAGAAGTGTTTTAAAGCCTCCATTCACTCCCATTACATCTAGCTCAGCCAATACATTAAGGTTAATGAGTTTTTGTATTAAAAGAAGTGTTTAAATTCAAATCAGTGTATGCACCAATCACTTGCATTTCTTACAGGAAATTCTTCTGCATATTTCAATGTGTTGACAAGTTGTTGCACCAGCATTACATCTACCCACCAGTTGCCACAGACCACGGTCACATTTTGGTACAATAATTGCACTCACTAGCCTCTGTACCACAAAGAGTTTTGACAATGATATTCTGATTGCTTCACTGGTCACAAGAACAGAGACGGGTCTCCTCTCCCTTCTCTTCTGCGCCTGCCTTTTATTTGCTATAAACTCCTTTCTCCAGACACAATATTGCCCGCTTGCGCCTCAGTTTCTGCACTTTTTACGAGCCATATTTTTATTGGAAGAATTTGGCTGGGGGAGCAGAGCTTTTTCATCAAAACCCTGGATATTAATGCAGTCTATCTGTCCTTTCACACCCGTGCAAACCGGGGCCTTTACATCAACCTTTACTAACACGCACTTACATTTATACAGTCAAATATCCTCCGCGAGGTTCCGATAGGACCGATTCTCTGTGGCAGTCTCGCCCGTGCGTCCCTAAGCATTGTACTGTACGGGCTAAGGAGTGATCCGAATCACCGTCTGTATCTGCTGATGTGTTATTCATGTGACAGATTTGCAGCAGATAAATGCCTCACTTTAGTAATGCAATGAATAAGTGATGCTCTTTTTTTCATTCCTGTCGAGTCTCTCGGTGTGATAAGAAAGAGAGAGAAAGGTAAAAACTGAGGAGAGATGGCAGCGGACGGACAACCTTGAAACAGAGATCAGGTCAAATTCCCATTGGAAAGAGCTTGATTTTTTTACCAAAGTTTATCGTCTTTAAATGTGTGGTTTTAAATCCCAGTATATCGCAGCTTTGCCGTGACATTCAAGGGTGGAAGAGGGTCTCCTTTGAAGTCAATTTATTTTTCAGGCATTAGATGTCTCCTTGGAATCCCATTAACAGCTTCCCACAGACAGCAAGTGTTCGATCAGAAATTATACATAAGGCATAGCAGTCTAACCCTAATTGTAGACCCATGAGTTTCCCAACAATAACGATAAGTTTCTTCATGGGTTGGACTCGACATGTTGGGCGAAACATCAGAGGGGAGGAGTGGTTTCTGTTGTTGTTTTGGTCCGCCGGTGACGTAAATTGAAGAATTTGAATGGGAGAGGGGCGGCTCTAAATCCCAAATACCCAAACCGAATGCAGTTGGGATTGGGTTGGGGCGTGGCTGTCGGCCACGGAGGGCTTCGGAGTCAAAAGTCCAACCCAGTGTGGTCATCGGTTTACCACAGGTATAGACTAATTACAGAGTGTAGGGTTTTCTGTGCTATATGAGGGGGAGAGTGTGTGTGTCTACATGAATGTGTACATGTGTACGGGCCTGTGTAATGTGTCCCATCAGTGGCTGTGGCTCGCTACATAATCCACTCATGAGGTTCATAAATAGTGGATTATCTATGCTCACACACAGATACGGACAGGTGTTTGGATACGTATTATTGAGAGGGCTGCACATGAACTACTTTATTGTCTAACCATGATCTAACCCTAAGCTTTTCTCCTGAAGGCTGATTATTTAAATGAGCCAGTGCAAAACTTGGCTTTTATTTTGAAAGGAAACACACTGCCAATGCCAATTAGAACAGGTGCAATTTGTGAGAGATGTGAAATACTACCAACGAATTTACTTTTTATGCACCGCACTCAACAGAGACCGCTCTCGTTTTTCTTCTGTCCCCTCCTCGCTCTTTCTGTTTCCAGGTAACGATTTGTTCCTGGTGGCGGTCCACGAGCTCGGCCACGCACTGGGCCTGGAACACTCCAACGACCCCACGGCCATCATGGCTCCTTTCTACCAGTACATGGACACCGACAACTTCAAACTGCCCATGGACGACCTGCTGGGCATCCAGAAGATTTACGGTAAGGCCTCCTACGCCTCATATAGATGTAACTACCAGTCCACTTTAAGTGTTATTAATTCATTTGAGTTTCATTCTACAATTTTATTCTAAAGCACAGATCTGAGACCTAAATTTGAGATCACCGTAGGCGAGTGCTTCATCGTCAGAGCACCTACACATTCCTGACCGACACACATTCGGAAGTCGGCAGATGCTGATTGCAGTGCTTTGTCGACTCGTAAAGCCGATGTAGCTCTGGGGCGGGTGTGTTAGAAGTGTGAAAATTGAATTTGACGGTAATAGATTTATGTAAGCATCAGTGTAATCTTCATTTTTTTACGCTCTCAGAGTTGAATTAGTGGTACATCAGGCCGGATGTTGCCAAGACCTCAATCTAGACATGTGCTCTCTTTAATGTGATTTGTTGTGGAGGAACCCACAATTTTTTGATCCAGGAATTTTTTTTAGTCGTCTTCTCAACCTCAGTTTGACATCCGAGTTCAAAAACAACTTGGTGGGAAGTGACAGTATTGTCCCGTACAGCTGTCGAGGCTGTAAACCAGTCACACTCCGCTGAGATGACTCCGGTCTGTCACATGAATGGCTGCACACACACACACACACACCAAAGAACCTGCCATCTGCTTACATGGTCAGGCTACATCCCTCTGGGAGTGACAGACCTGGGCAAGCGATCAAATCTCTCCTGATCCCTACTTGCGTTTAACTCCTCTCCACTGAGGCCCCTCCCTCGTCGTCGTACCGAGGGTTGAAGGGCAGGACAAGCGATGGCAGCTCCTCTCTCTGTCTCTTTTTCCACTTCCAGCAGCCGTCGGCCTCCTTTTTCTTCCTCGCGGCAACAGCGCTGTGGAGGCTAAACAGGAACAATGGTGGGAGAGCTGCACAGTTTAGATGATTTAGAAGAAGATTCACATAATTAAGTGGTGTAGTAGTGTAAATGGGAGGGAAATGTTGAATTTAGGACTTTTGATTAACAGTCAGTGGGAGCCAGGCAGGATCCCACAGTGAATTGTGGGAAGAAAAGTTAGGTAGGTTGAGCTTGTTATGTAGGATCGATTCACTCTCACACTTTTGGACATCTAGCTGAACTCTTTCAGTGTCTTACCTTAGCGCTGAGGTCATTGTAGAAAACGAAAGGCTGCTGATTGCAGTTATTCCTCATATTCTTTATTATAACCCCATAATAATTACTTATGAATAATTAACGCCTGAGCATCACAACGTTATGAATGAAGCTTCAAACTGTTCGGTACAGCCCAAGTTATGGTCGGATATGATTTGGATTGCGATATTAAAGGAGATAAGATAATAGACGTTAAACGGAACGCGATGCTGTGATATCTTTTTGCACAGACTTTTAAAAGGGAGCATTTGTTTAAAAAGAGGAGCCATTGCCATCAAATGGCTTTTTTTTGTTTGGATATTTTTAATTATAAAAATCACACTATTTCATAAATGTTTATTCACAAAACTTTAACTGTATTGCTTACAAAAAGCTTAAAGGTTCCATTATTTCAAAGCTCCATCACACCATTAGCCACACCACAGCCTCTTGGTGATCAGATCGCCTATCAGCTATCTCGAGTAGGGCTGAAACTAACGATTATTTTAATAATCGATTAATCTGGCGATTATTTTTTCGATTAATCGATGAATCGGATATTAATGGGCCAAAAAAGGCGAGTGAATAAAAACGTGTCTTTAGTCTTGCAAACTATACCACCCCTGCTTTACTACCGTTATTAACGAGCTAACGCTAACTTGTCATGCTTGTCAAGCTGGATAACGAGTAAACACCAGCACCAGAAGAGCTACTGGAGGGACGTTATGTCCCTCACTTCAAAACGGAACAAAAGTAGGAATCTGTAGTGACTTACCCTGCTGTTGAACTCCCTTCCTCCTCAAGGACTCCAACATGTTTACGTTTTAGGTGCTGAATCATCACCGTGGTGCTCCCGTGCCATGCCATGCCGCTTTTGCATATCTTGCAATTAAGACACTTTTTCGATTTATTTAGTGTGAAATGCTCCCACACCTTGGATGACTTCGCCCCAGCGCGATAGCCTATCAGCGTTGAGATGTTTCTCCTGTCATCACTGACTTCCTGCTGTTGTTGAATCAGGAAATAAATACTGTAGCCGTCTGTGTTCACCCAGAGCTCTGCGATACCTCATATCAATAGAGACCGGACCAGACTATGTGTATAAATGTGTGTGTGTAAACCATATGGTACAAACAATGAATAGACGCTGCCGTATTTACGTTCAGATGACGTTATTCTGAGTATTGGTGGAGCTGCTACAATGTTAGCATAGCCTAGCACCGATCCATCCGAGCTCCATTGAGAAGACAAGTAGCCTACAAATCGGCATCGTTACCTAGTTATTTCGGAGTCCCTTTTTGTCGGTTTATTGCCGTTAAATCACAGCCAAATCAGTTTATTTTGTGTTCATACAGCTGTAGCAAACAGCGACGTGTGGCTTGCTAGACACAGTGAATACACTTCGATAAAATCCACAGAGCTCCTCTGGACAATGTTATGAACCAGACATGACGGCGTTTAGTTTCCCAGGATATCGGTGACTTCCACAACACGTACTAAGCAGAAATAGAGGTTATTTTTTCCATGGTTAATGGCGGACAGTTGAACGGCTTTCAGGGCGATAAGCCACGGCCCCTCTCCGGCGCGTCCAGCGCGAATGAACACAAATAGTCCCCGGCGAGACCGGTGGCGCGAATGATTCGCACAGTGTTTGGTGTGAACACGGCATTAGGTCGTACTGATTTCTCTGGCTCCGCCATGTGTTTCAGAACAACGTTACGGGTCTTTCCTCTGCCTCCGCTCTACCTCCGCTCAACTCAACTTTTTTTTTTATACTCAAACATCTCCGCGACTTATTGAGTGGCGTAATAATCGCGCGACACAACGAATCGATAATGAAATTCGTTGCCAACTCTTTTAATAATCGAATTTTATCGATGTTATCGATTCGTTGTTGCAGCCCTAATCTCAAGTAAACACGATCGGGCGATATAAAAAATAAAAACTATCGCCCGACCCTCATAACAGCGGAGTGCTTTGGCTCCACTAATCTGGGATCTTTTTCAGGGGATTTAATTCAGTCAGTTAACGGAGTCTCTCGTGTGGACTCGCTGATGTGTAGCAGCGCGCGTTCCCTCTTAATCCCTCGATCAGCCTGTGTGTCAACTAATTTGATGGTTTTATCTCAATTTCTTTGTCTAATTGCTCGCCATAGATCGCCTCCTCCAGCTAAACGATCAGTAGCTCATTCAGTTCTTTTTTTTTTTTTTAAATCCTCTTTTCACTCGCTGACTTTTAAATCACTTGTCAAGCCATTAAATCATTCATTCATAACTCCTGGATGTTTACAGTTTCTTTCAAGGTCATTATTTATCCATGCCACCATTACTTATTAATACTTTTCAATGGGGGGGTGGGAGGGGGGGTTGCTTCTTTCATATTGCAGTCATCTACTCCTGCATCTGTTGGCCCCAATCAACACATGGCCACTAATTTCCTGGTTTTCACAGTAACAGTGTGTTATTCTTGCGTCGTCACATGTTCAATTATTCATCCACACAACCCATTCGCTCTGCCTTCCTCCTCTCTCTGTTTTCCCCCTGCATGTCTCCCGCCCTCTCTCTCTCTCTCTCTCTCTCTCTCTCTCTCTCTCTCTCATGTAAATCATGAATGTGAAATGACGCTGAGCACGCCCGGGCCTCCACTTGGGAGGAAGTTTTATTTTTATCTCTACAGTATATTTCAAAAGCGTATGCTTTTTATGTCTGTTTTATTCATCTTAACATATCATATTATGCTTCAGTGAGCTGAATCCCTAAAAACTTGGCAGTGTTAAAGTCCACCCACTGTGTTTCGCATGATGTCATGTTGTTTTTCCATCTTCTGCTCTGTCTGTCATGTGTTCTTTTCTTTATGCCTTCAACTCCTTGTTGCCAAATTTCCCCTTCACACCGTACCTTGTCCTTTGGCATTGGTGGAAAAAAATGGAACTTGGCTAGAACGTGTGGCTCTCCTGCAAGCTCAGGTGGCTGGTTGGCGGTCAATGGCACAACAATATTGAAAGTGGTTCACCCTTAATTTGCATGCATGTTTACAACCTTGAATATCGAAGAACTCTTCTCGCATATCCCACTCTACTTGGGGCTAATGTAATTAGGAGTAGTGATGTGCACCACTAGTTAATTAAATGTTGCTAACCCTCGCTAGTCGGCAACAGAAATACTAGTCAGTTAAACTTATAATTTTATTAATTACACATTTAGATTATATATAGATATATGCTGTTCCTCCTGCAGCACGTTTTACCTTCTAGATTAAATTGTGAGTCTTTTCTTACTTTTAAGACTAGTTTAAACTGCCATGTAAAGGTCAGGGAAATTAGTATAAAGGAACATCCCTAATTGGGAGAGCCCGGAATTTATATATAAAGAATCTTAAATTTGTTTTCTGCTTTGCCCGATATTCTCTTGCTTCATTTAAATGAGTAGTTTAAGAAAGAAGAAAAGAACACCACTCTCACTCGCTAGAGGCAGCAGCTGGTTAGCTTAGCTTAGCATAAAGACTGAGAACAGGGGGAAACTGCTAGCCTGGCTCTTTATTACCGACTGCAAGCTGTAGCTTCATCTTTAGCGTACAGACACAAGAGTGGTATCAATCGTCTCGTCTAACCCTCAGCAACAAAGAAAACAAAATGCATTTTCCAAAATGTTGAACTATTCCTTTTAAGAGATTTGGTACATTTTGTTTACGTTACCGAAGGAAAGTTTAAACTGGTGAAAAACACAGATTTAATACCCTTCACATGCATTAATCTGCATTCCTTCCGATGTGTTTGAAATATATTGTCGTTCTATAGGGAATGACCAGGTGTGGTCCAAATTAAACCACTTGACCCCAGAGATTTCGGATGTCGAAATGTCTGGTCTGTACGTGTTGCAGTGATATGAATGAAAACAAGTGAGGTATTTTTCTCTCACTTCCTCCAGGGCCTCCTGATAAGCTTCCTCAGCCCACCAAGCCTTTGCCGACGGCGCCCCCTCCACGCTCCCACCCTCCATCAGACCCCCGTAAGCCAGACAGGCAGACACGACCCCCGAGGCTGCCCCCGGGAGACAGGCCGTCCAACCCCAACGCCAAACCCAACATCTGCGACGGAGGCTACAACACCCTCGCTATACTGAGGAGAGAGATGTTCGTCTTCAAGGTTAGTGAAGAGACTGCGATATCAAAACAAACCTGGGGCATTTTCACATGTTGTTTGTTTTGAAGAGTCATTTTTTAGCCCCGGAGCAGTTCTACCCCAAACTTAGATCTCTTAGCGGTGTGAAACCACAGCAATCAGTGTTTATGGGCCAAAACAACCTTGTGAGATCTTGTTGGAAGGGTAGTTTCATATGTCCAAAAAGCAACAATATGGCTGAAGAGAGGTTTCTGGCTGTAACATATAACGTAATAGTGTGATAAATGCAACCAAAGACAGCCTCCCCCTTTGATTCAGGTTTGATTCACGTTAGTAGAAAGGTTGACACTGTGTAGAAATATGGTGGATTCTCCTCAATTATGCCTGTGTATTTCAGTGCATAATTAAAGCAGCTATTATGTCTATAAGGAGCTTTTTCCGGATTACTTTGGGCCAGTGGAGCAGGAATTAGACAAAATGGATATTTCACTGCAAAAGAAACCCACCATGCCATGCACAGAGCATCACAGCTTTCCTTTCTACCAACAAACTCAACCTGGTTTTGATTCCCGTGTCACAAAAAAGGTACGCATGTCCCTTAATGCATCTTTATCCTTGGTCTAAGCTTGTGAATACCGGACCTTGGCAACATGTGCTGAGGAACAGAGAAAAACCTTGGGGCAACACAAAGATGTCCTGTGTTCTCCACAGAAAGGAGAAAGAGTGCCTCCGATGCTTTGAGAGTGTGACTGTATTTTTCTGAGATTATAAATAGATGGTATTCAATGGTTAAAAAGAAGGCTTGTGGAGCTAGGGGGGAAAAAAACATTTCTCCTCTCGGCCCCCTCTCTCTGAAAAAAAGGACGTTCAGCTATCAGCCAAACTTTTTCTGAGTTTAGGAAGTGAAGGATACGAAGCCAGTTGTGCTCCAAATACACCTCTAGTGTATCTGTGTGTTTTGACATTTGAAGAATAACTTCTGTAGTTTGAACATGCCGATCCCTCTACTTTAATGGGCCGTAACTACTCAAATGCTTTGACGTTGTTGAAGCTGTTCTCATTGACTAAAATGAAATACTTTTTCCAAGGCTTCCTCACACACAGAGCATCAGCTGATCCCCTCATATTTTTTGTCTCGTTTTCTTTTTGTAATCCAGGCAATGGCCCCAAATCTGCTTGCTGTTCACACTGCTTCTGTGTATTTGTGACAGTTTTAAGACAAATCTGAAATGTTCTAAGCTCCAAGTATAATCAGTGTTATAGGCAATGATCACCTTCCTGCTTGAAAGCATTATTTGGCTTTAGGATTGACATTTTCTTTTGTTTTTCTAGCTTTTTTATTGCATTTTTAAAGTGCCCTTTACTGTAATGTGTTGTAATTTACGTTTTAAATCTGACAACAAACATCTTGGGTTCCTGAATGTATCTGTTATTTCTTTGCACTTATACTCTTGTGCAATTAAAACGTGTTATTAAACATACCTGCAAACTTGTCACTTTTCGGTGAAATTCACCGTTTTGATCAAAAATATGTCATCCACGTGAATCGTGTTGATCCGTAGAGTTTTTTTTTTTTGGGGGGGGGGGGTCAATTGGCCAGCGAGCGTTTCTCAGATTGGAGTCATACGAGGAGAAAAGGTGATGTCGTGATCTTCACAATAGAACATCTTTGGCGTATCGAGTCTTGGCCAATCAGCGTTCAGATGTCTACAGCGTCTTAATTTCCCTCCGTTACAGTTTAAATTACGTTATGTTCCGTTACCGTTCAGACTTGCTGGGTTAAGTTAACGTCCACTGCATGCAAAACGTTATTGACTGTTAACGTTTGTCATTATCGCGATTTAGGAGGAAAAAACGTAACTTGATGAAACCCCCCGTGTTCCGGTTCAGTTCACGCGGTCACTCATTAACGTTAAACCCGAACACCGGTGGATTTGCTGGCAGGTTGTTTTTTTTTAACTCAAAGTAGAATGAGATTGATTTCGTGGTGATAATTACGTTTAAGATAACGAAAAGTGAGGCCCAGATACTGATGAGATGATGAGGTCAAAGAGCTTCAGGAAGAGGAGGCTGTTTGTGTAGCGCAGCTTGACGCAGGGCTGAGCTGTGAGTGGAGCTGGGCCTGGATAAAGGTGGAGGTCTAAACAGACGTGAGTACAGCTTCCTGCTGTCACAGTGTTTTAAATACATTGATAAGGCAGGGTATGCTAAATGCAGCCTCTGTTCCAAGGAGATGAACTACAGCAACAATGGCTCACATGCCCTCTCATCACACTGTTCACTGTAATGACCACAGCCAGTGTACTAACAGTCCCAACAGTCCCACGTTGCTCTCAAGAACCCTGAAGTAATGAGAGGGTTAAGGTGCCTGTACCTTAATTTCAGCGGGTTGCTAATGCAGAGGTGTGTATAGATTACAGCTATTATTTTACTCTTGATAAGCTACTTTAGCCAGAGTAGATTATCATTTTCATTTAAATAATTGAACTGGATTGAATGCATATTAATTGCAAATAGAAGATAGGCCACAATTCTAACAGCTTTACAGTAACAGTGGAAGTTAATAGTAAGACATACAGTAACAGGGTTCAATGAAAACGAATCACTTTATTTGTACAGGCGATGGTTCTCGCTACTCTTGCTATCTATGTTTTTATATGACTAAAACTTTTGAAAATGAGACCTCGGTCTCAATTGATTTTGTCTAAATAAAGGTTAATAATAATATTGATTTTAAAAAAAAAAGCTAACTAGCCAGCTGTTCAACTGGAGCTGAAATACTGATTAATCACTGAATAATAAATTCGTTTTTTCCTTAAAGTAAATATTGTCTTATCACTTCATTTGATTCTCAGAGTACATCAGAATGCTACATGTTAAAGCTCATATTTCAAATAAAATTCTCGGAGCATGCACCCCCCCGACAGGGTTTCGGGCTTGTCACCTTTTTCACCTCTTATGAGTTTGCAGTTATGATTAAAAAGTTCATAGACTTCTTGTGTATGGATTTTCATACAAGATAAGTAGCTTAGTTCATAGTAATAAAAACTCCCACAGTCCTTAGTCTTGTGTGCCAAATGAGTCTCTTTGGAGGCCGATCCACAGGGGCCACCCGGGTAAATTGCTCTTCAGCATAAACAGCAGGGCTCCCCCTCTTTGTTCAAACTATCTGCTTACTGCAGCCAGCTTTCCAATTAATACTGTAAATGAAATGCACATGATTAACTCATGAGCAAAGGGGCAATGAGGTAATGTTGCACTCAGATGGAGGTTAAAAAAAACAACCAACATCCAAAGGATACAAACAGACACGTCCTGTAATCAATTACAAAAATTTGACGTCAAATTTTGCAGTCGTAAAGCCGCTGTGTTCCGATCATTAGGACCACCGGTGATATTACGACTCAATAATGATTTGCTCGCCTTTTTTTCATAATCCACATTTCAGCCAGCAAATCAAATGTGAAATCCATAAAGGATCACAGCTCTGTTAAGTGTTGTTTCACGGGAGGAGCAGGTGGTCCTCATATTTCTTGGTTCTCAGTGAGTGGTACGCCAACTGAAGGTATCATGTTAATGGCTGCCAGCCTCCTGGTAGATGAAGCTGCCCAACTGTAAAACGGTTGATCTGGAATCCTAATTGGAGATGTTTGCGTTTCTCCAGAGCTCGATATATTCCCTTTAAAGGATGCCAAGGCTTACGTATCGGTCTAAAGGCGAGTTAAAAGGATGGCTGACAGGAAAGGGAATGATTTACAGCTCGTGCATACTTCTGGTTTCAGTTTTATTTGACTTCATGTCTCTTGTTTCTGCCATTTGTATGGGTGATTTCTTCTCTTTTTTTTTTATTTATACGATTGATTGTCCTCTTGGTTACTCCACGGTGTACGTCCGTTTGGCCTGAACCGCTTGGCTACTCTCACCATCCCCTCTTGATTGTTTTGGAAGAGCAAAGTCAAGTCAATACCAAGTCATTATTGCAGAGATCCCAGCAGTCTCACAGCTCCCGAGGCCCACAGGTGGTCCAGCAATATGAAGTAAGGGGGGGCGGGGGTTTAGAGAGAAGACTTTACGAGAGCTGATCTGGTGAAATGCACCGAGCGATCTGGTGTTTCCTATGAAGCAACAGCTGCATTCATACTGTTTGTATGACCTGTTTGTAAGCTTCTGAACCACAAGAACCAAACATTGAGATCCATATGTCAGAATTTGAGCAATAAAACAAGGCAAAGGGGAGAGTGTCACGGTCCGTTGGATGTTTACAGACAAACACCTCGTTCATGACTCATCTCTGAAGATTTCTTCAGTCTAAGTATATTGAAGTCTACAGATTTGTAGATGATCTCCAAAACCATTTCAGTGTCTGCTTTTAGCAATATACGGGATGGCAGGAAGTTCTAGACTTCCAGAGCCCTTTCTGAGATAGTTAGTCATGATAATGATATGCACTAGGATAGGCCGCTGCATCCACACAACCCACACTGGTGCCCTACAGGGACAAAAGTTATTGTTTTATAAAAAAATATTTAAATGTTCCACTTTCAGAATCACAAAGTAGTGCGGCTCATCAAGAACTGCTGAGAAAAACTGTTCCATATGCAAATATATGCAGTCATGAAGGCAAATGTATTGGGTATTATAGCAGGACTTAGACGTTTGGTTTTTATTAGGGTCGGGTAAAACAATAAGTAGTGGAGCAAATTACAAATTTAGTAACTTCTATGAAGTTGGCAGACACACAAGATGCCGATTCTATTAAAAAAAAGTATACCGCTGGATCCTACACTTCCCATAATGCAACCCAACAGTGTCGTTAATTACACCCCCCCCCCCCCAAGTTTAAAGCCCTAGCCGCGTTGACCCTCATGACGTCATCAGGGTGATTCTTTCAAACTTGGGAAAGCAGCAGAAGACATTATTCAACTGATTCTTTTAATTCTCTTTGAGACGTGTAAACTGAACTTCATGTGTAAAATCTGTTTAGTGTCTCTTTAACTTCACAGATAATGTTGCACTTACCAATAAAGGAGGTGAAAGGTTGATTATTTATGTTACGGATTGCAGATTTTGGATTGAAGTTGAACCTGACTCAAGGTAGTTGTCTTTCAGATTGTCCAATATTACATCAAGAAAAATAATAACAAATGCATCAGATTAGGATCTACATTTCCTGAACTAGTGCAACTCTAGCAGATGAACAGTAGGAGCAATGAGCATTGCTCCCAACAACGCTGAGCCGTGCCTGATTTACTCGAGGCCCGTTAATCTACAAAGGCCGGGTTTGGAGTCATGCTTGTCGAGGTGCTAGTTTTATGGCCGATCATTTTTCTCTCCGCTGCGGTGACGGAGGGTCGTTTCGGGTTCACGTGGTCGTCCGTGTGTCCAGTGTCACCAGTGAAATTACACAGCTACCTCTTTTATGACTGCAGGCACTGCAGGGTTCAACTTTCGGTGAACTCTCACACCGTATGGCATCCCATTGGAGACAGAATCACTCAAAAAAAACATGTATATGCATGTGTACATGGACTTGCTTTTCTCATTTATAATAGCGGCTAATTATGCCGCATGGTACGCCTGCTCAAATGTTTGTAGCTGCGACCGTTGTACAGATGCAATTCTACCGACCTACAGTCAGCTGTGATAGAGAAAATGCCACCCTCCTCCTCCTCACCACTAGTCCTACGCTCAATCACAACGGTCTTGCCAGTCAGTGAGAGACCGTCATTCCTCGATGCGGACGGATTTAGAGCAGGGGATTCTGGGACGCCGGAGAGTGCCTTGCGGTTCAGGAGTGGCCTCTTGGAAGCCGATGTTGGAGACGAGCTTTGATTCCCACGTCCATTAATGAGAACGCAGTCTTCCTCCTTTCTGTAACTCGGAGGAAAGAGACGGAGAATCCTGCAACAGCGGGGCGTCTGAGTGGTCTTAGAAGAAGACGTGAAAGGCTTTTTAATGCTATTGGACTGCACGCTTTGTTGACATTTATTGTATAATTACGTCTTGCCACATGTTTAAACTGAAGCCGCCGTATAAGAAGGAACAGCAATGGAAAGAATAAGCTGCAGGTTGCAAAGGTGAACCGGTGCTTCTCACTGTTCTTGCGTTTCAACAGTTGCACTTGTGTTAATGCAGTTTGGAGACGTGTTGTTCTAGTCTGCTGTTTGTACAGAAGTAGCTTTCAGATGGGCAAACACACAACAGCAACTATCCTGCAGCTATTTTCCTCAGTGAAAGACATCCTGATGGATGCTGTGTTGTCAGGCTTCAACTCTAATCCTTCGAACCCTCTGAATTATTTACACCTGCATTCTGCTCTCAGTGAAGCCAAGAAAGGGTGTGCGTCACATTAACCGAGCGAGAGATCAGCGGCACTGTCGTCCTAACACCGCCGTCTGTCATATTCTCACCTCTTCACTCACACAGACACACAGAGGGCAGCAGAAGACGCTCACCCGGAGGTTGACCTGGATTACTGTGATTGTTGACACACTTCAACGCATTTTCATTTTCTCCAATCGACATTATGGTTATACGTTCTCCTTCTTATATGTTTTATCATCTGCCAGTCGCAGAACTTGAATGCTCTTGAATGCTACTTCCAGTGAGTCTTGATAAGTCTTATTCTTCTCTGTCAGAGAAAGCCCCTTTCGTTTCTTTGTAGGCTCTGATGAAGTGTAATTCTTAGAAGCTGATAAATAAGAGTTCAGGCTTTTAAAATCAAAGGTGATGAGAAGAACTGCAGTGTATATGTGAGAGTACATTTAACATAAAATCAGTGTGCAAAGGATGACAATGTTATAGATCACATGAAGTAGATTAATGACGTTTAGTGTTTAGCAGCCTAAAGGCCATACTGTATGATTGAAAAGTGCTATTAAAATGTTTTAATATCTCTTAGTTGTCAACACTGGAAAAAAGGCCACTTCAAAAATAAGTAAAAAAATAAAACAGGTTACAAGGTTTTTGCATGTAAAAAAAAATCTGCAAATGGAACAGGTTAAAAATGAGCTTGGTAGGATTTCATATAATAAGATGTAATATTAAGGCCTTTTAAGAAAGAAAGACATCTTGACGGATCTGTTTCAATTTAGCAAGCCAGAAACGTCATGCAGTAAAGTGATGTGTTGTACATAGAGTACAAGTACAAGAACCCGCTGGGGAAGCTCTGCCGTTCGCTGACAAAAACTCATCGGTCGATGCAGGTCCACCATTTATACTCCTATAGAGAGCGCGTGGTAATTCAACCTTACGGCTCTGCACGCGTGACAAAGCCTGCGCTGGCCTTTCTCTCAAAGCAGAGAACATGAACAGTTTGAGACACAACATTTCCAAACTTCTGCTCAGACTATAGTCGTTGTGATTCTCCTAGATGTTCTTGTCATTGCAAAAGTGCCGGCTGAAATCTTCTACAAGCGAAGTGCGCCTGCCTGAGCTTTATTTTCAGAGCGGGACAAAGAACATTTTCTCTTTTACGAAGTCAAAAGGATTCAAACGGGTCCAGTTTCACAGTTTGATCTGTTTTCAATTAACTGGGCCGGGCCGCGTACAGAAGAAAAAATGCTGAACAATTGAAATCTGTGGGGGCAGCAGGTATAGAGCAAGCAGAGGAGAGGAAGAGAGCGGCAATTGGAATGAGGGACATGGGGAAATAAAAAAGAAAGAGGCGGAATGGAGTCCAGGGAGCGAGGAGAGTCCCACAGAACCAATTGGATTAGACAGAGAGAGAGAAAGAGAGTGTTTGATGAATGGGCTGTTTATTTAGCTTTCACTGTGAATGAGGCCGGGCGCGGTGATGTGTTGTCTTCTCCGTCTCTGCGTCCCTCGCTGTGAGGTCAGGCTTTTTTGGACCCGAGCGCTCGGCCCATTCGAGGGGGGCGGGGGCGCAATTGTCCGTCCATTGCCAAAGGGTGGGACGTCTCGCTGCGTCCTAATAGCTTTCACAGCTGGGTCTCCCCTTGGCCCCCCTCTGTCATCAAGTTTCATCCAACATCAAAAAGACACACCTTCCACTTGGCTGCGCTCACGTTACACCCCCCCACTCCGTAGGAAATCAGAGACTCTTGGCTTCTCATAAAGCTCCTGGCTATCACTTTGCCCCACAGTAGTTGATGTTTTTTCCAGTATGTTCTTCAAGTTCTGCGTGCGTAGCGGCAGTCTCGTGGGCTTTCCTGTCAACCCGAGAGAGTACATGTGGACCTTAAAGCCGTCACGGCAGCAGCTCCAGTCGGTCGCCGCCATTGGGGCTTTGTCGTAAAAGAGCGGGAAAGCAAGGAGGGTGGGCTCGGTTCACCTCGATCAGACCTTCTAATTTACCGCCAGCTGTGTTACAACATGCAGAGTTCATTACATATTTTTTCCCTGGTTCAGGGCAGGTCAATGTTTGGTGTCACTAAACTCTTTATGTGACCTTAAGCGTGCTGGTTTTCTGTTTCCTAACGGTGTCCTCTGTTCTCTTTCAGGACCACTGGTTTTGGCGGGTGAGGGATAACTCGGTGATGCCGGGATACCCCATGCTCATCAGTGTTTTCTGGAGAGGCCTCCCGCCCAAGATAGATGCCGTCTATGAGAACAGCGAGGGCAAGTTCGTCTTCTTCAAAGGTAAGCTCACATGCTTCACCACAGTTTAAATATTGTCTGTATTATTCTTCCACAGGAGTTGTATATGGCTGTCACATTGTATTTTCCTATAAACTGTCTTTTCAGTACCCGGCATTAGGGTTGGGTACCGAAACCCGGTGCTAATATGGCACCGGTTCCTATACGACCGGTATCTACTGGACCAAAACGCAACGCAGATTTTGGTGCTTCCTTTCGGTGCCTGAACCGATTGAAATACGTTTTTTACACTACTCTGATGACTCCGTCCTTGCAGCCTCGGTCCTCCGCTCCTCACTCATAATATTATTACAACCGGACGAGCTGTGCGCACTTAGTAACAAACCCCTCCATCATTCTGGCAAAGGTTCGGCCATGAATTATTAAAAAAAACAAAAAACGAGACCGAGATCTGTCAAACGGCAGGCAGGCTACTGACTTCCTCCATCGACATCCGGGTACTTAGCGCCGCTGGCGCTCATAGGGTACATCCCAAGTCTCTTAACTGCATCCCCGTTCACAGCTGATCAGCTGTCAGTCGGCTTTAACAGCTGATCAGCTGTCAGTCGGCTTTAACAGCTGGAGAGACTTTTGATAAGTTTGTGTCTGTTCACATGATCACTGTACTTAATAATAGTAACTAATAATACTAATAACTAATAAAGACACACAGTAATCACCACTGTAGAGGTGTTTCTCTCTGTAGTCTGTTAACAAACTGTGTCCTGTGTTCTGTTTATAAGCACAGGATCCATTTCTACCGGCAGAATGCGATCGTCTTATTTATGAATTATTTGCGTCTGTACGTTTTGAAATTGTGACTGTGGCGTCATTATTAAATAACCCAGAATATGATTATTGTTTCTCTTAAATGATAAAACTCATCAAACACTCATGAATGATGTAAAAAGTGTTTATTCTCTCCAGCTCTCTCTGACTTTAATTGTTTCCATAATAAAAGTTATTGAGGGAAATATCAGATCATGAAAACACAAATCTTTCTAATAAATGAAGAAAGTTGTTTGTGGTCCTTTTGTTGTTCAGTCTACAATGAACATTTATTTAAACCAGATGTTCAATCAGAAACCGAATCAAATATAAACTAGAGTTTATTCTGTGATCTGTCTTCACTCTGGTGTTAAACTCCAGTCCTGGAAGTCTGTTCTCGTGGGTCCTCGCTCATGGCTCCTCCGAGGTCCCTCCTCCATCCTCCCTCCTCGCTCCTCCGAGCTAAATAAGAGCTTTGGGACGGCCGTCAATATGGCGGCGCAGAAACAACTTCCGGTTCAAGCGAGGATCGAGGAGCGAGGAAACAACAATTAAGAGACTTGAGAAGTACCCATAAGCACAACAGGCACACGAAACCTTCTTCTTCTTCTTTTTCTTCTTCTTTGAGGTGTAGTGGCGGTTGGAAAACGATGAATTGGCGCATTACCGCCACCAACTGGTAAAATAAAGTAAAATAAAATAAAATAAAATAAGTCAGGATAGGTGTATTTTGCCAGAGAAGGCAAATATGCTCATATTTCTGCAAAATAATTGCTGAAGTTTGAAGCTGTAGTGTGTGTACAGAGTGTGTGGGTTTTGTATTTATTTTAGTGCTGGGCAACGATTAAAATATTTAATCGCGATTAATCGCATGGATTTTTTGCGATTAATCGCATTGTTATGGCAAAGTTCAATAATGAATTCAAAAGTAGTGTATTGCGCACTTTTATTTTAAAAGTACTGCTATACGAACAAAAGTGCAATAACATTTGGTTTACGAGATGCAGGTAGCATGTTTAATACTTAATGTGAATATAATTCATACTTTGTTGGCATCTTATTCTGAAAACCGGATGTTCGTCTGAAGAAACCGGATGTTGTCTCACGTTAATCTTTCCGCTAAATTTCAAAGTCCTTCCTTAGCTCGCTCCCGATCTGTGCGGTTTAAATGCGTTTACCGTGAATTTCAGCACTAAAATTACTGACTATAGGATGTTTGCTGGCTTTTATCCCACTGTTCTTGTCATCCTCTTGTTATTATGTCTATATCTCTTGTCTTTCAATTTAAAAAAAAATAAAAATAAAAAAATTATAATAAATTTAAAAAATGCGTTAACTCGCGATAAAATAATTGTCAGCGTTAATTAACGAATGCGTTAACGCGAAATTAACGCGTTTACTTGCCCAGCACTAATTTATTTATATTTATTTAAGTATACTGTAAACTGTTGTTAACAGTTAATATATTGTTCATAGTTTGAAGTTAAAGAGTTTGAAGCTGTAGTTTGAAGCCAAGTGTTTTATATTTATTTATATTTATAGTATACTTTAAACAGTTAATATATTGTTCAATTTGAAGAAAAAAGTATCGGTTCAGGCACCGTTTAGGCACCGGTATCGTTTTAAAAGTATCATTTTAGCACCGGTATCGGAAAAAACCCAAACGATACCCATCCCTACCCAGCATGTGTTTTTCTGTCTGTAAAGCAAAAAGAGGGTTTTTTATCTTTAATAACTGCTGTATGTTATCATGCTCACTCAAAGAACGGCTTTGATCGTATCTGTGCGTTGGAGTTTAGTGCAAATCTGTGGAAGAGTAAAGCAATGTTTTGCCCACTTAGTTGGAAAATCCACTATAATCCAGCAGTTTGGGCTTTTAATAACACTAGTGCTGGGAGTTATATGTTTAAGCCTCAAACTCTACCTAAATCACTGTCACCGCATGTGCCCAAGAACTTCAATACTTTTTTTTAATTTGTTTTTTACCTTCCCGGAGCAGATTTGTCCACATATTCAAATCTAGACTAAGCTAGCCCCAAAACACAGATTCAGAGCTAATTATGTCTAAAGCCGCAAAGCCACTTAAAAGAACCGGCAAACGAGCACAGCGGTCCTGTAAACTCCTATTTGCATACACTCCAGAGAGGCAGACTCTCAGAGAGAGGGTGTTGATGAAAGGAGACGTAGGTAAGCAACAAAAGTCTGCTGAGATAGAAATACAAATCTCCACTGCAGCCCGTTTCTATTTTCAGCACCAAACAATTCCTTGAGACTGCTGGTCCTGTGTGTGCCACAAGCTCTGGAAGTTTGATTTCGGGTGCTTAATCCTCCACCCTGCTCTTTTTCCGGGCCGTGTAGCAACAGGATTGCACACGGATTTAGAGAATTTGCTATTCTTTATTTGAACACGCACAGCTGATTTCCCAGTAGGCCTCATTCTGTCCGTCCCCATTTTTTTAATGAAACATCAGGAAGAAAGTCATTCAGAAAAACTAAATGCGGCACTCCGGGTCGTCGTCTGAGCATCCAGCTCCCCTGTCTGATGAGCTCCCCGAGAATAAATGCACAGATGGAGGCTTCAGAGTGGAGTCTGCGCTAGAGTTCTGGCTGACACACTGATTAGCTCAGTGCTGTTAAGGCATCACAGAGCCGGTCAGTAAGCAGACACGACTGGTATACATTAGAAATAGATTCAGCATGTGTTCTTCATTTTGACTCCCATGTTTGCCTCTTTCCGTTCTCCAGAGACGCTGCAAGTCCAGAATGTGTAGTCAGCTCTATTGTCAGCTTCACTAATCAGACTGAATGTCTTCATGTTAATTGCAGCATGCGGGTCGATTCTTTGAAGAATTAAGCTTAAAAGCTGTATATGTTAAAATATAATAATTGGCCCTAAATGACAACAAGGTAAGAGGTTGTATTAGAAATTAAATTAATCAAGTGTACCATTGCAGCACTCACACGATCTACGCGTCAATATACATTTCCCTCCCGGGAGGCAGGATCCAATTAGAGCTTGATTGGTGCTTTTTGTGAGCTACAAGTTTTTATTTTTTTTACATTAAAGATAGACCGATGAATCCGGGCCAATATGTCTGCCTGATATTAGCTTATTGTGCATATCGGTATTGGCGTGTGTACATTACGAGGAACTTTCAGCACAGAAAAGCCAAATATAGGTTGAAAACAACGTCACCGCTACACAATCTGAACTTTAGAGGGCGGTGACGGTTACTGTTGTTAGAACATCCGTCAAGCTTTTCATTTTAGTTTAGTATCACAGTTACTGATTCACCACTTGAAATACTGGATTGATTTGAAGAAGTCATTTTCAAAACAATGGGTTTCTGATTTCATTAAAATCACAAAAGAAAACATTTACAAATGAAGAACAAAGATTTAGGTCACATACACCAAATTTCTCCTCAGCATCACGTTGGGCGTTCTGCCGTGTGTGCGTATAAATAGTGCATGATGATTTCAGTTGACACTAACACACGTGTGATTCATTGGGCTGTACAGTACGTGTTTGCGTGTGGCCCACATACGGAGGAGGAGGGGGTCTGTTTTTGGAACAAATCGTCCTCCTATATGACACTCTTCATACAGTGTTGAGGGCGAGCAGCGGATTAGTCACTACACTGAAGCAGATGCCACTACATCAAAGCCGCTCTGAATGACAGGAATTTCCTTTCCATAGAAGAGGCCACTACAGGTCTCCTCTGTGTCCTACCTCTCCCTCCCTAAATCTCCCTTCTTCACCTCGGCCGTACAGTGGGAACACTTCTTGGAGGCCAGATGTCAGATGTGCAGCCTTTACGAAACAAGTGAACGGGTTGAGGGATCATGCCTGCTTTATTTCACACCCATTTCTTGTATTTGTTGAAGAAAATTGCCTGGGTCGTCTTAAAGCTGACCTTGCAAAAGTCCCTCATAGTCTTTCAGGTTTATGGACCGTTCAAGCTGAGTAACATGTAATATTAAACCTTATTCGTGAAAGAAGTTGCTGACACAAATGTAATTGTTTAAAAGAGGTATGATAAAAGAAGAATCAATAAAAAAAACTGTGTGTGACATGATTTGGCAAACAATGAAAGGCCATAATATTTGACCTAGTTTTTCCCCTCTCTGCCTTTTGTCATTCCACCTCTCTCTTGCAACACGCTGCTCTTCCAGTCACCCCCACCCACTTCCTCCGGGTACACCCCGCACCTCCACCAGTGACGAAGAAAAGCACTTCCTGTGGTCACAGTGGGGTCAAAAACGTGCTTTTTAGCCTCACTACTTCATGGGAGCAAGGGTTTAAAGAGAAAACATATTACATGTTTTATACATTTTTTACAACATTATTACAGTCCTTCCAAAAGTATCCTAAAGTTCAGGTATTTGTTTGGCTCCTTTGGGCTTGGAAACTTTTAAAGAAAGGTTTTACTGTGACTCCTTAGGTGCCAATTTGCCCACGAGTCATTGCTGTTTCTTTTTCTTTCTGCCAAGTCCGTTTGCTAGTGCTGCAAAGTACCTCTAAGCAAGGGCAAGGAGAATTTGTCACCATGTCTGTGTCCTGCTTTAAATTAGGGAAACATCAACATCAAATACAGTAATAGAAGACAGCAGGTTATTGCCTGCCATTTGTTACAAGGCTTCTATCTGTCCTTGTGAATCTGCCCTTCTCGTCTGCTGCTCCCGGAGGGTAATCCCAGCTGTTACTTGTCCGTCTCCCCCTAATTTGTTTTTCTCTCTCTCTCTCTCTCTCTCTCTCTCTCTCTCTCTCTCTCTCTCTCTCTCTCTCTCTATCTCTCTCTCTCTCTCTCTCTCTTGATGTGCAGGCAAACAGTTCTGGGTGTTTAAGGACACGGTGTTGCAGTCCGGATACCCCAAGGACATCGCCCAGTTCGGCCACGGCATGCCGGCCCAGAGCATCGAGACCGCAGTGTGGTGGGAGGATGTGGCCAAGACCTACTTCTTTAAAGGGGACAGGTGTGTGCGAATGGACCAAGAGCGGTGTTTTCACAAATGATAAGGGCCCTTTAAAAAAGCTTCAAGTGTTCAGAAATGTAGCAGCTGGAAGTCCAAACAAAACGGCAACTCTAGTGGGGATAGTCGCTCATTTGGTGTTTGGATGATGGCAGTGGAGGTCATATATGTCTGGTCGACATATCTGATTGACACTTTTGTATTGCACTTCCTTAAAGTTGGGGGATTTGCAAGAGACAGATTAAAAAACGAATGGACTGACGTGGTACTAAAGTAGAGATGCACCGATACTGATAGCGGATTTCGGGGCGATACTGAAACAGCTCGATCGGGTATCGGTTACATTGCGGCCGATTTATTAAATTCTATGCTATTTGTACATACTATATACATAATATACTGGAGTTTTAACTCCTGTTTAAGTTTTGAACAATAACAATTCAATAAATTTATATCTGTGTTTATTTGTAACATTTAGTTTTTACAAAGTTAGAAAAGCAAAGCCCGAAGTTTGGCTCAAACATAAAAGAATGATCCCAGTCACCGTACAGCTTAGTAATTAAACACTGGTATCGAATCAGTACTCGGTATCAGCCAATACCCAAAGCCCAGGTGTCTGTTCAGGACCAAAAAAAGTCAGATCGGTGAAGTCCTGAAGATATAAGATATGAGACGAAATACCATTGCTTGTCAGTTTGTGCTTTGTCTTCCCGCGGCTCATCCTTTGTCCCTGTTCAGGTACTGGCGTTACAATGAGGAGATGAGGACCATGGACCCCGGCTATCCCAAGCCCGTCACAGTGTGGAGAGGTGTGCCTGATTCGCCACAGGGGGCCTTTGTCGACAAAGCCAACGGTACGAGTTGTCCTGCCTGATATTCCGCTTTGGCAATAACAGTGCTCTCCATGTGCCAAGCCGCATTGATTTCAGCCGGTCACTGGCACGCGCTGTGTGGGAGGTAAACCAGGGTTGCATTGATTGAAATTTGCCCCAGTTATTATATCGAGTCTCGGCGGGTGGCACACTTCCATACATACGATATCAGGGGAAACAGGCGGACAGAGTGTTCGTGGATAGCAAACGAAGATGAAAAGAGGTCAGTTTTGAATTGTTTCCCCAGCAGAATGTTTCAAAATCGGTCCACCCTGCTCAGGGTGCCATAAGACCCAGTTGGAGCAGGATTGTGGAAAGCAGAAAGGACAAGACCACCGCTGGGCGCTCGTTCCGGTTTAAGCCAGTTGGCCGTCGCCAAGGGTTGGGGGGGAGGGCGGGATTTAAAGCTCTCAAAGAGCTCACCCATAGGCCAGTCAGATGGTGTGAAGAGGGGAAACAGCTTTTCTCATTGGATGCATAATACCAGGTGGGATTTTGGGCCTGGTCTTGGCGCGGCCCGGGTCGGAAAAAGTAGGACAGGTGGCGCTGAACGCTCCGGCCATCTGTTCAGCGGATCCGCTGCCAGATCCGTATGCCTGGGCGTGTCTGCCGGCTGAGGCCAGGTGGAGCTGGCATCACTCGGAGCGTGAAGGGTGGATCGATATCCAGGGGGATGATGGGTGTTTGCGTGCATCACATGTAGTCCCGCTGGGGAACGTATCGGCCTGCTTCTATTTGGCGGGCGAGCTGTTTGCAGACAGTGTGTCAAGTGGCACGCTCATAGCATTGACCCATATACCCAGGCGTAATTGAGTCTGCTGCTGATGATGATGGTGGTTGTGTGTGTGGAGCAACACGTTTCAGAGTAAGGGGCCCCAGGGCGATGTTGACCTGGCCCTAACACACAATAGCTCAGGCTGCCTCACCTCTCCTCCCCTCTCTTACTCCTCACAGCACTGTGTGTTAGTGCTCAGGAACCCCATCTATCTGTTGCTTCATCGGGATCCGTCAGTCGCTAAATGACTTTCTTTTTCACTTCACTTGTGTTCAATGCAGGAGAAAAGTGTAGCAGAAGCTGCTGCCAGATTGGAAAGAAAGAAAATCCCATTACATTTTTTTTTAGCTAGTCATAATACTCAGCTGAACTCTAAATGAGAGTTTGGTGGAGAAATGGTGTGTGAGTGTGTGTGTGTGTGTGTGTGTAGACTGTGCATACTGTGTTTCATTGTCTACACAATCACATGTGCTCAGACTGTACCTGGTATAGTTTTGAGGACCAAGCTGGGACTCTTCATGAAAGGAAGACCAGTGCAGAGTCAAATTAAACCGAAGGAATGGTTTGACATGTTGTGGAATCAGGCTTAAGCATAAAGACTGGGTGAAGGGGTGAACAGTGAGCCGGATTCACCCCTGCTCCAAATCTTTATGCTAAGCTAATTGTTTGGCTAAGCTAAACTCAAAGCCAGTCAGTGATTCCCTACTGCTCATGGATTAATTGTAAGATGTCCGTTGTAAGAGCACACAGTCTGCTGGCCACCAGTAAACACCGAAACATGAAGACAGAGATAGAAGTTTGAACTGGGTTTGCTGCTGTCAGAGGACTCTGGACTTAAAACCATTTATTTATTTTTTTGATACAGAGAATGCATTTGATGACAATTACTACTAATTATTAATTTGCGGATCATGTCCTCTCCTTCTAATGTGAATCCTCTAAAAGCTTTTTCATTTCCTCACGTCGTCACCAAGCGATTTCAGAAGCCTTTTGCCCTGACTCTGTGTCAACTCAAATAGAGGTTTTTGTTTTCATTTTAGATTTTGTGAACTTTATGTACTATTCAAAAACCAAAAAGATGCATTCTGTAAAATCTTTTAGCTGAATTTTAAGAATTGAGAGTTTGTCCAGATATCTGTCCCCCGGGGTGAATACATATGGACACTTCTGGATTAAATTGTGGCAAGTACAACAAACCAAGATCGCAAGTTGTTGCCTTTTTTGAAATGCCAAAATAGCGATGTGGACTCGATCCGAGGCCCATGAAAAGTGAAGAGTCTATATGAGGGGAATTTGTATGTAACGTAACAAGTTCTTTCCATGTTTTAATTTGAATTTGAATACGAGGTGAGGCCTTTTCAATTGTTTGGATTTGTTGCACACCGTTGTTCCTGTTTCCTCTACCAACTTCCATAACTCCACAAGTTACATTTCTGAAGATATTGAACCCTAAGATGTTTTTTAGGGGGCGAAAATAACATTACCTGGGGCAAAAAAAAAATGCAATCTTCAAAATTCTGTGAAAATATTTTACAGAACTTATTTTTTTAAATAGCGTATGAATGACGTTGAAAGAAACTCTAAAATGTAAACAAAAACCTCTCTGATTTGACACGCCACGACCCGATAGCTAGCATGTCGTCATCTGACTGTTAAGTCTGAGCATTTCCTCCTCCACTTTCCACAGAAGAGTGAGCATGAATAACAAACCTCCAGAAACAACATGTTGAAGGGGCCAGCGAGGACGAGGAGAGCTCGAGAAATCAGCCAGGCTGTCATGCTCGCTTTTACCGAATACATTCTCAGTGACTCGCAGGCGGCACGGATGTTTAGTGTCCACCCAAAAAGAAAACTTTTTCAAACATATAGCAGTTTCAAATAAGCCACAGGAAAAAGCATTAAGTCATTAAGCTTGATATTGTTACTCATTGTCAAAATGTTTGCCGGTATGCGTTTGAAAAATATTTCTTAGCTTCTGTCACCGTTTTCATTGCTCTCCACACAAACACAGATGGTGTGTTTTCCTCTCGGGGAACAGTGTGTAAGTAAACTTATGAATTGTGACAAAGGGACAATTGCCCCCACAGCCCCGTAAAGAAAGAATGTGACTCTTGTGATTTGAAAAGCAACACAGCAGATGACATCTGTTGTGCTGCTGTGTGATATTGGCTTTGGGGTTGGGCTCCTGGTCGGGTGTGTTTACTCTTTTATGACCAGATATAATTAGTCCTGAGGGACAGTCTGAGACGTCTCCGCTGAACAATAGAGCTGAAACGGAGACAATGGCTCAACAGCAGAGCAGTAGACTCAATTGTTTTTGAGGTGCGCTTGCTTCACCGGACTGGCAGGTTATTGTCACTTTGTTTCAGTTCAATCGGCCTTTTTTGTTTGGTTTTTCTGGTGATAAGAAAGGCAGAGTTTGTTCCGTATTTTAACTAGTAACTAAACCTTCTCCCTAAATCAACAGTGAGCTGAACTATGCTCAACTTGGACGTTCTATTGTCTCATATTTTATACTACCCTGCTACATTTTTACAAGGAAATATTTTATTCACTACATTTATTTGACAGCTCTAAGTACTAGTTACTTTACACGTTAGGACTTTACACAGAAAACACACGTTTGTCTTATACAGTGGGATGCATTGTCATAGATTACACTACCCAACACAATATACAGTAGATACCATTAGCTAGATTAGCAATTGCTGGATCAGTAATTATATTCAAATAATGTAACGTACAAGTCTTAAAAGGGCCAATCTGCTGCATAATAAGTACTTTTACTTTTGACACATAAAGTACATTTTTGCAATACGACTTGTGCACTTGTGGTTTTGTACAGTAAGCAGGACATCTACTTGTAATGGATTATTATTAAGCTGATTTTAGTACTGTTACTGAAGAATAGAAACATCCATTGACTTTGATATTTATGCATTCTGCCAATAAGACACTTGAATCTGGTGACAGACTTTGAACCAGAGAGGGGAAGTGACACACTGCTTCTCAGCCTCTGTTAAATTCAATCCAGACAACAATATACTCACAGGTTTCTGTTTTGTCTCTTGCCCCCCCCCCTCCCCCTCAGGTTTCACCTACTTCTACAAGGGTAAGGAGTACTGGAAGTTCAACAACCAGTTCCTGCGAGTGGAGCCGGGCTACCCGCGCTCCATCCTCAAGGACTTCATGGGCTGCGACTTGACGCCCGTCGATCCCGCCCGGCCGACGGCCGACGACGGCAACTCGGACGTGGTGATCGAGCTGGACAACGAGGCGAACACGGTGAAGGCCATCGCCATCGTCATCCCGTGCGTGCTCGCGCTGTGCCTGCTGGTGCTGGTCTACACCGTGGTGCAGTTCAAGAGGAAGGGCACGCCGCGCCACATACTGTACTGCAAACGCTCCATGCAGGAGTGGGTCTAAAACGTCGGGTAGAGGCGTGAAGGTGGGAGGGGGAGCGAACTGGAGAGACAGGATGACAGCCCCCACCTTCACAGAGGAGGACGGTGGACTTTGGACAACGCCACGCGTCCTCCTTTTGGGTGATCTGATACCTTCGTTCAGACCCTCAGAACCTGTCGGCGGCCCCTCACACGCATGGTGGCCCCGGGACCTAAAGTTGACTCCGCTAACCCTCAGCCTTTTTAACAAACAGCGGAGTAGAGGGACAGTGTGTGGGGGATCTTTGCCTGATATGACAGTCAGTCCCAGTAGAAAACAGGAGGATCAGTATCACTTTGTATCTCAGAAACTTGACTTCCTGTCCCCATTCCTCTTTTATTTCTTCGCCAGACTGCTCTTAATCAGGAGGCGGACTCACACAGAGACACTCACTCTTTCCACAGGGCACTGCATCGTCATCCGTCATATCAGATTGTTGATGAAACAACACATTTATATTTTCTCGGTGCCCCGTCGCTTCATACTGCGCTCAAAAGATAAACATGAGTTAATCACATTACCAATCTTCAATCCCTTTTCTGTAGTTTTTCTTTTCTTTTTTTTTAAATTTAGATTTTTTATTTTAAATCTTTTGAGTAAGGAGGTCCTCGCCGTTCCCTTTAACACGCTCCTGAGGAAGAGACCAAATGAAACCAAATAAAATCAATTTCTCTCCAAAGAGGATTACTTTTTTTTTTTCTTGTTTTTCTTTTTTGTCATTTCCGTTCATCCTTTCTTCCCCTCTCTGGATCCTTGCAGCGATTAAGAGTCAGAGAGCTCTGACTGTTGTGGCAGTCTGTTTGAGACACAGGGGCCAAATTATTCTGCAATATTTTAACTCGCCTTAATTATAGATCATACTACTTGTGCTTGGTTTTTGCTGTTCTTGGACTTGTTTTCTTTTATTTTTAAATTTGTATACCGCTTTTGTCTTTTATTTGTTGTTTGTAATTGGTATTTCATGGTTTTTATTACATTACCCAGAGTTCTCAGCACTGGTTTGCTGAGCCATTCTGGACAGAATATACAGTAGGGTCAGCCTGTATTGAGAGTAATGTATTGTCTCGTAAAAAAGATGTAGGAAGGTTCTGGAGCAAAGCCACTATTTTTGTGTTAAGATATTTGTTACTGTTACTTTTATCATTTCCATACAACAGAAATCAGGCTAATTATGAGCTTGAGTGCTTGGTATTGGATTTGCTGATGTTATTCTTTATGTCCTCAGCCCATATTCCCCCTCAGTGTGCATCCAACATGGTCATTCTGAATGGTTATTTGTGAATGGACAGACCATTTCTTAAAAAGAATCCTGTTGACTGCCTTGTTTGAGAGAGCTCACAGTTCCCAGAATGCTCTTGTCTCCTGACTGAGGACCCACAAAGTGAGACACCGAGTCAAGATCAGTGCCTGTGTCAACGTGCATGCAAGCATTTACTGTTCATCCAACCGGTTCTGCTCAACACGGCTTTGGAACCCCTCAAAAGCTGAGGAAGTTTCCTCTTGAAAATACTGTTTGCATTTATTTTTGTACATTTTAAGTGTACCCACCCTCCCCCTCCCCTTACCTCCAGGTACAATTGAATACAGGAAAAACCTTTAAAAGATTTAAGTGGTACATTGTGGAAATCTTTGGGAGATCTGATGGGTAATTGGCAAATCATATTGGATTCAGCAAACATGTAGTGTCCCCGCTGTGACAGCGAGCGGTCTTTGAATGTGTGTCTTGTTTTCATGATCACATACCGGTTTTTCTTTCTTTCCTGTTTTCTGGTCAAAACAAATTGGACATCTCACAATGACTTCTTTGTGTAAGACTTTGGGACAACGGGGAAACGTGTCCTGACAGAATGAATAAATTGATCAATATATGATTAAGAGCTGCCTCCGACCTCTCTGCTCATCTTTTAACTTGTATGTAGAGTGTGTGTGTTGAGTGCTTACTGTACACATGTGTTCCCCACATCTGATCTGGCCGAGTGTTTGCTTGTGGATTTCTAACTCTTACATGATGTGCACAATACAGTGTGGTATTGATTTGGTTTGAAAGAGGGAACTTGAACACCCAGCGTTCCTGTCAAGCACTCATGTGTACCAACCACTTGAGCCGATGGTGATACCCAAAAAAAAGGATTTGTATTTATTGAAGATCCATGACACCACAAAATAATTAGGAAAAAAGCAAATATCTTATGTTAGTGCACAGCCTTGTGATGCTGTACTAATGTGCAGCGGTGCTTTAAGCTAAATGCTAACATGCTCACAATGACGATGCAGATGTTTACCATGTTCGCCATCTTAATTTAGCATGTTAACATGCTAATTGGCACTAAATACAAAGTAAAGCTGAGACTGATGGGAAGTATTGAACTAATTTAAAGTTTACCTTATGATTCCTCGAGAGTTAAAGTTATTAGGATTTATTGTCTGGGCACCGTGGATAGCTGTACAAAATCTGATGGCAATCATCCAAAATGTTGCGATATTTCAGTTTCGAAAGTACTGTACAGACCAATAGGCTGATGTTGCCATCCTATGGGTGCTGCTAACATTTCTTATTACACTTGTAACACTAGGACTAACTAGCTCTATTGTGCAATACAAGTTCAATGATGTTTCTTTTACAAGCTTTGTATTCTTTGTGTCTTCAGCCCACTGCAGGAGCTCACTCTGCCAGCTCCTGTCAATCAAACAGACACCGACACCCCTCTCCAGCAGACTGATATTCAACTAAATGTGACTTCAGTTGGATTTTAAGCAACTTGAAAAATGTCTGGAACCAGTGTTGTGCAAACAGTGCAGACAAAGGCCGACCTGCAGTGCACAGGGATATTGGCTCGAACTACGGTGAACTCTGAACTCCAGAAATAAACCCAGCAAGCAGCAGAAAAGAAAAAAGTGATTCAGAGATAACTGTGTTGATCTGGGCCTGAGAGCTCAGCAGTCAATTTGTGTGCTGCTGTATTTTTTACTGCAGATTGAATGTGAAACTGGAGCCGTCTACAGCCTGTTACTGTTTATTCTAGCTTTGCTGGGACACATTTGACATACAGTTTACTTACAACAAAGAAGGTGAGGTCAAGCAAGTTTACTGACTGCGGTTTCTAAATCTGTGTGTGTGTGTGTGTGTGTGTGTGTGTGTGTGTGTGTGTGTGTGTGTGTGTGTGATATGAAATTACACTCTTAGGGATAACACTTCACCGGTTCTCATCACAGGACTGTTCAGTGGTGAAATTGCCTCTCTGCTTTTGGACAAAGGCATTATATGCCCGGCTATGTTTAGATCGGTGCTTTTTCCTGAGGCTCTTACTCATTGTCTATTCTCGCTCCATTTCTGTAAATACAGAGTGAGTGTCCATGCGCCTATTTGTGTGTGTAGAATGTATGTACCAATCCTGAAGCAGTAATACAAGCAGTTTAAAGGTAAAAAAAAAGAAAGTCAGTCAGCACTCTTTCTTTTACTTCTGTTTGCCATGAGCGTGCCCTGAGCAAAGTGCAGTGTGGGTGGTCAAGAAGTAACAAGTTTGTCTACAAACCCCATGTTGCTTTGCCAGCCTCGGTGTATCGATGCCTCGGACTCTGGCTGGCTGGCTTCCATGAGTGAATCTCTTTCTGCATCTTGGTCCTGTGTGTGTGTGTGTATTTGCAAGCATGTCAACCTCACAACTGTAGCCTGGACAAACCTTGTGGGTAAGGCTAAAATATTGGTGCTAAACTGACCTCCACTGGCCAGGGCTGTTTTTCTACAGTGCTATTTTTGTCAGCCCTCCTCCTCTTGCTGTCATTGGCTCAAAAACCAGAGTGATTACAATGGCAACCAAAGTAATACATTTTCATTTAACCCGGGTCCTTACGGTGCACTGCTTAATGGCCCTTCTTAAGGACCATATATCCGAGTGGCGGTTATTAGCGCAGGGGTCAGCAGGGGTCAAGCTGTTGCTTTAGCCCGGATTAAAAAGGTTAAAACATATAAAGGAGACACACACACGAGTAATGGTTGTTAAGGCCTACTTCTAGGCTGTCTCTCGCAGCAGCGGTCAGTGAATCATCCATATTCAAAGATAACATTGTTTGCCTCCTCTCTTTCTATTCTGTATTTGTTGGATCATTATGTTCATTTCATGGCATTTATTGCAAGTAGTCCTACTTTTTTCTGTATGACAACTCAGCACCTCCTTGCCAACTCACTCATTGTTCAAAATTGACTGTTCACTAAACCCCTCCAGTCTCTCAGCAACTGTAAAAAGGCACAGCAACAGTGTGAGGCATGGTGAATAGTGTGCTCTGACATACGATACAATTGTTAGGATGTCCGGCTAACTAGCTTACTACTGACGGGACAGTAGTAAATGAGCATTACAAAGCCAAACTGAACAATATAAACTAACTAGGTTACATTTAGTTTTTGGGGTTACAGAGTTCAAAAGTACCTGTCCACAACTAGCACATCCACTGTGTAGTATTTCCTCTCTGTGTAGGCCGGTCCTGAATGCAACGTTTGGGCTAACGTTAGCAGTTCTGTGATGCTCTTTATTGGATCGGGGGAAGTTTAAGCAGTCCCAGCCAAGGTTGTACCAAAATGAACATGTTATGTTCCCAAACACATTAGTTGATCTTCATCCTGTAAGCCTCTTGCAACATTAGGAGGGAAAATACGAACAATAAAGCAAAAATATATCCTGTCTTGTCCAAGTATGTTAGCTAAGCAGCTAAACACAGTTGTGTTTGAATAAAATTAGTCTGACAATACATTTTCCTTTATAATTTTTAGAATACTACTAACTAGGTTTACACTGCAATACAAGAGCAATTATTTGTATTTTCAACCATTCCATGGAGCTAAATTGAGCTGAGCCAGCTAGCTGATCAAATCTGCTAGCGATAGTTTCAGCGAACAAAATTGTCGGGTGCCAGCCAGAAATGAGAAGCCGTCTGAAATCTACAACAATCCTTGTTTCAAAATTGACTATGAATTTTGAGATCACAACCACCGTTATCTTTATAAATTCCGTATAAGCTGTGCGAGAACAAAAAGCTTGACAGGCACAACAACTACGGAGGGCAGGGTTTAGCTCACAGTCAATTGACCTGTCCAGTCATGTCATCATGCTCAGAGAGGCTCTCCGATGACTTTCCGTGTCTCTCTGTATCATCCGTCTGTTGTAGGCCGTCTTTGGGAGCAGATCGACAGAGCGGACTCTGTCGATCAATAAATACATTTGAAAAGATGTTGCCATGCATCCATGTCCTGTTCATGCCCGTGTTCACGCATGTATGGTCATGTCATTCCCTGCAGGAATACAGCCAAGTTCACTCATGGAAAAAGTTACCGATGATCAAGAAACGCCGGGTCTTTTGATACACTTTTCTTAAACTTATCTATTTGCATATGAAAGAAGCATACCTGGGATCTAAAATGTATTATTTTTTTTGTCAAATTTTTTTATATTCACAGCATGTCAGCCTTTCATGTCATTCCTCCCACATCCATTCAGAGATCCTCTATCATTCCTTCAAAGTGCTGAACTGGGCCTTGCCATGATTTTTTTCCTTTCTTTTTTTGTTGAGAAGTAGAATAGTTACTGTCACTATGTGGAGTGTTACAGATGAAAGCCATATTCCAATCTTCTTCAGGTCCATTCAAAGGCAGAGAGCCATCTCCCCTCGTACAACAAAATAGACCCTCTTCATATTTCCGCAGCAATAAACCCCCTCTGTAAGGACGCAAGAATTCAGATGGAGGATGAAAAACTATGATTTCTAACACAGCACAATATTGAATGTAAGAATCAATGACACCTCTCTGCTACAAAACACCGGGCTCTGCATCTACAAAGAAATACCCACTTCTGTGTCTGCTGGCTTTGAATGAAGCTGCTCGGACCAGACGGGCTCGTAATCTGTTTCCAATTTCTATCATTCCCATCATTGGTTCCTAATGGATTTTCGTCCGTGCACCTTTTCCCTGAAATCTGCTTGGAATAAAACCTGCATGCATGTGAAAACATACCCAGCTCATATACATTCCAGACACTCAAATGAGACATATTGTACTTTTGTTGAAAGTGTTTCTGCACTGTTTTAACAGTATTAGATTCTTCTTTTTGTAATTGCTGACATTTTGTTTAGATTTCCCAGCATGTTTTGACTGAGAGCTTTCTAGTTTCTGGTTCTCCAGCTGTCTCCGGCACTGCTGCTATGTGTCCTATGTTCACATCATTAACTTCAGTGGTATGGGGCTGATGGATTGAGACACAAAGGAAAAGACTTAACACTTAACAAAGAACAAACATAAATGAAGTAAAGAAATAGTTCTCTTCTGTACTTTCACTTGCTCCCTGTAGCGCCCATTTGCTATCCCTCCCAGTAAGCACTGGGTTTAATGGTAATAAGGGCACAATATGGCACAGACCTACAATCTAGCTGATGAGCTTGGAGCGGCAGGCATTATCTTACTATGTAGATTAAGGTAATATAGATTCAGGCAAAGCGTCGAGGACCATCTGCTGCATTACATACTGATAGTGATTTCCCTTATAAAAGCTTCCCCACTCTGAGGATTGCAGTATATAATATCAGTCTGGCAGTTATATTTGAAAAGAATGCATTCTCTGAAATGCATTTCGTATACAGTACACCTGAAAGAAATCTCCTTTCACCTTCTTTGTAGTGATGTGGTGGCTTGAATCTCAGAGGTAGATACCACACAACATGACCAAATAAAAACAATACTATCTGCATGGCTTAATACCTACAGTAAACGTATGGGTTTCTGTGAACTTACCCTTTAAATTGTGATTTAAGGCAATAACAAAATATAGTAATTTACTCTTCATGAAGGGACACTCTCCAGTACTTCAATAGTTAATGGAGTCACAGAGCTCA